ATGTGAGACAGCGTGGTGGAATTGGACGCTCGTCAATTTAATCAGAGTGAAGAAACTGGCATTTCCCCGCAAGTTTTATCATTTTTATCTAATTTTTTTTTTTTGTCTCGACACTTTTCATGCCCATTAAAGAACACATTTCTGTGTGGATTTGACTGCAAACCGTTGATTAAAAGCACAAAATTGTAAATTTTCAGTTTCCTCGGACTCTCAAGTTAAGGAAATAACTAATTTTTGGTGGTCATTTTCTCATTTATTTTAACTCTGAAACCAGGTGACCCCCTCCTCCTTCATTCGCAAATATCTCGACTTGTATTCAAGATAAATGGATATTTGTTTCATTCAAAGCAGAAAAATGAACAGGCTTTAAAGTGATATCAATAACTCTGCTTGGCCAAGAATTGACGAGCGCCTGATTTCACCACGTCGAGAAACTAAAATTCAGCTGACGGTGAATGATCAGTCTCAGTCAGATGGATATCTCACCGCGCTGAGAAAGTTTTGGAGAAGTTGGGGTGACCTGCTTCCAGTGGGATGGGACCACGCCTTCAGCATCAAGAGTGGTATTTGCGTGGTTGCCCCCTAGCGATCGTTAAAGACACATCCAACCGTGAGTTCGTTACCTAAAATTTCATTGCAGGTGAGGGTCACTTAAACGCAATGTGAGCTTAAGTGTTGCTTTTGGCTTTTCGTTGTTTCCGTTATATATTTGCAACTCACCAAACAATTCAGGATGACATTTGAAATCCATGGTGCTTTTTTATTTACCTACTATTTATTTATTTGTTTATTTATTTATTTATTCATTTATTTATTTATCTATTTATTATTCTTATTCTTTTTTAAATGTATTCTCCTATTTTTAATCTTCTTTTTAAACAAACAGGACAGAATGTTCCCGTCACTTGGAAGGTCCAGTTTGAAGTCCAGTGTGCTCGCTGTGCTGTGCGCGCTCGCTGTGTTGTGCATGTTGACTGGTCACTCACTCGCACAAGGGCAGCCTCACGTGATCGTGAACGGAAGTGACGTCTATGGAGTTGTTAGACAGTGGGAGGGTCAAAGTTACCACGCCTTTCTTGGCATAAGGTGAGATACATGTGTTGTGTGTGTGTGTGTGTGTGTCGAGTGTGTGTGTGTGTGTGTATGTGTGTGTGTGTGTGTGTGTGTGTG